CTCACTCTAAGACCCTCAGGCAGCCTCCTTCCTAATAAATAATAATTAGAGGTGTACTGATACATTGGTCCATATCAGATTGGCACTGATATAAGGAAAATTGACATTATCAGCAATAGGCTTTTTTGGGCTGATGTGACTGATAATGTCACCGATAAATGCCACATGCATCTGCCCAGCTGCAGCATGCACATGGCCAGCCTGGCAGCTTGGAGAGCAGCATCTAGCTGGTAAGTCTGTTGGGGAGGAGGAGGCATGGCGTGGGGGACAGATTGAGACCCCCACAGTGAGGGAAGCAGAGGGGCTGGGGCAGGGGCAGGCACTGCACAGCTGGGTCAGGGTGCAGGATGGAATGGTGAGCAGCTTGTATGGGGGGCATGGAGGGGGAATTGACTCCTGCTGTTGTGCACACCCCTGGGGGAGGCATGGGGGACATGTGCCCCCCTAAATCTGTGTGCTGGGCAAGGGCAGGCTGCTGCTGTGGGCTGGGGGTAGCACCAGGCTGTTCTGGGGAAGGGGGCCATGCCAGAGCTGTGCTCGGGGAGGGCAGTGGCAGCACTGGGAGCAGGGTTATGGAGTAGGCTGTGGCCACTCCAGAATTTGCCATAGCCCCCATAACCTCACATGCTCTGAGTGCAGCCCCAGCCCAGTTCTCTGCTAGGAGGAGCCCAGTGCCACCCCCGGCCCCAGCCTACAGCAGCAGCCTGACCTCACGCCATGTGCAGTTTGGGGGCACATGCCCCCCATGCCTCCCCTGGGTTTGTGCACAGTGGCAGAAGCCACACACCTCTCCCCATGCCTCCCCAGATGAGCTGCTTGTGGCTCTGTCCTGTGCCCTGCCCCCGCTGGGCAGCACCTGCCCGTGCCCCAGCCCTCCTCCTTCCCTCACTGTGGGGGTCTTGATCTACCCCGCCCCCTGGCCTCTTTCCTCCACCCCTTCCCCCCAACAGACTTACTAACCCGACACTGCTCTTAATGCTGCCGGGCTGCAAATCAGCAATTGGATCAGTATTAGCCAATATGGCTCATTAATAATCAGCCATCAGTATTGACCCAAAAAATCTTTATTTGGTGCACCCCTAATAATATCCAAGGTGTGGCAGGAAAGTAGAGGAGGTGAGGACCTATATAGAGTTGGAACAGGGGCTGGAATTGTGTGACCACCAGCAGGAATCTTAACTGCCTCTGGGACTTGGACCTGTCACAATGTTTCGTGGCTCAGATATTTGATTTCCATGTTTCAAAAGGGATAAATAGAGGTGGAAGTTCAATAGTCCTGAGTTCTATTTTTCAATTAGCCACTGGTATGCTATAAACCCTGAGCCTGTCATGTTAACCTTTTGCCCCACTTTCTTCACCTGTAAAGAGGAACATCATATTATTTTCATTACTGTTAAGTATTGGGAGGATCCGTATTTTTTACAGAACTTTGATCCTGTAAAATGTGGTCTTAGTGTTACAAGTGAATTGCTTTAAGTGAAAAAAGTATGTGTAGGACATTGCGCACAGCTCAGGGACTTCTTTTTTGAGATACTCCTGGATAGAGGTTGTGAAGAAATCCCTGTAGTAACAGAAGCCAGTAAAAATAAGATTCTCAAGTCTCCTGAAGTGTGGCATTTTCTTCCTTTACTCCTAACTAAGCCAGAAGAAACATACTTGCAAACTTCTAACTGGCCGGGGGCTGCACAACACACAGGCTACACCAGTGTCAGCCACAGGCCCTGTATGCAATGAGGATGCCTTGTACTGCATTGAGCACGTGGGTACCCCAGCCATGGGCTCATCATCTTTACGGTGTCTTATGGGTGCCCCAGACCATGGGTTCCCCTGGGACCACAGGCTGCTCCACACTGTCTTGTCCCCTGGGGTGGGTGTGGGAAGAAGAACCTGAAGGAGTAAGGGAAGTCTGAAGAACCAATCTACTACTGCAGCCAGAGCAATGGGGGAGGCAGTAGTGTCTCAGTGGGAGCCCAGGGACCATGAATGAATCCTTTGTGGGCCACTTGTAGTTTGCAGGCCACCAGCTGGAGGGCTCTGGTTTACTCTGTAAAGTGACCTTTCCTTTGGGGCTAGGTACAGATATTCAAAAAGCCAGAGCTTGAATTGATTCAATCTTTGCAGGTTTGCCTAACTTGTGTAGATTGAACTGATTTGCAAGTGAATAGACATTCCTTTTTAATTTCTGAAATGCAGCCACATGCCTGCAGTGACTCAGGCCAGAAGCCAGGGGGTGTAAGAACGAGCCCTCAGCTGGAGAGAGATTGAGTTGGGGGAGGGTGTGGCCAGACCCTGACAGGCCTGAGTATGATTAGGGAGGGGTTTAAATTCCCACTCTGGCCTTCAAGGACCCCAGATGGAGTTTGTGTGGAGGGGGAGGAGGGAAGAAGCCCCTGCCAGGGTTCCCCAGCTCCCCTATCCCTGCTCACTCACTGCTCCAGCAGCATAAGCATGGCCAGACCCCAGGAGCCTGAGGGTAAAGTGGGGTTTAATCTCCCCCATTGTTGTGGGGGGGGGGGGGTG